GGCCTGGCCAAGGTCCTATGCAGCCTGCTGTAGGTGACCCTGCTTCAGTAGGGGCTTGGGCTGGGTGACCCACAGAGGTCCCTTCCAGCCCTGAAGATTCTGTGATTCTGTGTTACTTGCAGAATAGGACTTTAGACGGGGTGATCTTTGCTAGGAAGGGGCTGTGAGCTGGAGAGCAGATAACAGCTCGTGGTGCTCTTGAGAGAGAAATAATGTCAAATTTTAACTTACTAACTGGAAATTGTTTCATGGCTTGTCTAGGTCTTTGTTTTTTTTATATTTTACCCCCCCTCCAAATATCTAAAAGTGTTGAGGTGAGGGGTAAGAGCTCTTCCTCTCCATTTCTCCAGGACAGCAGCTGCCTCTGCAGAAATCGCAGCTCCTTAACGAGAGGAGCCCTGCTGATGAACCCTCTCAGACCCGTCCTGCCTGGGGTACCTGGGGACCTCCTGGTGTTCACCCGCCAGGCCTCCCCCTTTGGAAATGCGGGCAGCAGCAGGACACAGGCAAGGAGCAAGATGGTCCTTCACCAGACCATCAGACATCTGCTTCAAACTGCTCTGCCCTAACTCAATAAGGAAAAACGATGTGGGTCCTACCTCGGGACAGTGAGATCTGTTGCCTGTTCTGCTATGATCGCTTTGCTCCCTTGCTGGCCCCAGTCTCTGTCCCCACGTCCTGCGGTGGGGCTGGGAGCCCGGTGTCCCATGGTGCCCATGAACCAGCCCAAGCTGGTCACCGGCATGGCTGTGCCAGGAAGCTGGTGCCTCTGCATCTCTCCTTAGTGCCAAATGACCCTGCGTGCCTGAAACTGTGGTGGGATGTCACCAAGTTGGGTGGGAGTGTTGATCTGCTGGAGGGCAGGAAGGCTCTGCAGAGGGGTCTGGACAGGCTGGATCGATGGGCTGAGGCCAACTGCATGAGGTTCAACAAGGCCAAGTGCTGGGTCCTGCCCTTGGGTCACACCAACCCCACGCAAGGCTCCAGGCTTGGGGAGGAGCGGCTGGAGAGCTGCCCGGCGGAGAAGGCCCTGGGGGTGCTGGTCAGCAGCCGGCTGAGCAGGAGCCAGCAGTGTGCCCAGGTGGCCAAGAAGGCCAACAGCTGGGGCTGCTCAGGCTGGAGAAGAGGAGGCTGAGGGGGGACCTCATCGCTCTCTGCAGCTCCCTGAGAGGAGGGGGCAGGGAGGGGGGGGTGGGGTCTGCTCCCCAGTAACCAGCGATGGGACGAGAGGCGATGGCCTCAAGTTGTGTCAGGGGAGGTTCAGGTTGGAGATTGGGAAAAACTTCTTTCCTGGAAGAGTGGTCAGGCCTTGGCCCAGGCTGCCCAGGGCAGTGGGGGAGTCCCCATCCCTGGAGGGGTTCAAAAAACAGGTAAAGATGGCCCTTCAGGACAAGGTTTTGTAGGCATGGGGGTGTTGGGTTGACAGTTGGGCTTGATGATCTTAGAGGTATTTTCCAACCTTACAATTCTATGATTCTGTTCTACGGTGGGTGGGATTTGGAGATACATGTGGATGTGTGGTGGCATGGTGGTGCACATAGTGTTTTGGAGTTCCTGCAGGACCAGGGAGTGGGTTGTAGACCTTGCCTGTAGATATCGGCTGTCTTTCTGGAAGGAAGAAGTCTCTTCCCAGTGATTGGAGATGGGTGAGGCAGTGATGGCTGCTATCTCAGTGGGCTTAATCCTTGATTGAAGCATGCCAGCTCTTGTGCAGGACCTCTGGGCTCAGTCACTGATTGCGTCCGGGTCCCTCAGAGCTGTCAGCACAGAACTGTGTCCCTTGAAGCTCCCTGTTAATATCCTGTCTGTCAGAGAACAGTCTTCCATGTTGGGAACTCCACCAAGGGGGCTCATCGCTGTCCTCCTGCAGTCTTTGGCTCAAGGGGTGCCGGGGTGTGAGAGCTAAGGAGCCTGGAGACCAGTGGGGCTGCGGGAGTGGCCCCAGCTCTAGTGGCTGGTGGGGAAGTGTCCCTTTGCCCTTCTGCACGGCGCCTTTGGGTGCTGAGCCAAGAAGTTCCCTGGTCCTGCTCATCTTGTGGAGAAGGACTCTACAGGGTTGCTCAAGCAAGACCACGCCAAGCTGTCCTTGGAGGGTTGGTCTCACGGCGTGGGTGCTTGTGGCCATGGGACAGTCACTTCTTCTCCAGCTTGCGAAGAGTGCTCTGAGGCCCTGCTCCGGAGGGAGCATTCACTGCAAAGGAGATGGTGTGTCCTCGAGTCTCTTCCCACCTTCCCAAAGCCACCACGGTGGGCATGCTGCCCGCTCTTCTCGTGTGGCAGCTCCCGGCGTTGGGTGTGGGAATGAGACGCGCACCTGAGAGCTGCCTCTGCGGGTCCGTGGCCAGTGTCGCTGGCGCTGGTGGGTGATTTTCGGGTTGTTGGAACCATCCCTGGTGAGACTCCGTCCTTCACCTACACGTTTGTGTGACGCCAAGGCTCAGGTACAGGCTTGGGGCGGACCTGCTGGAGAGCAGCTCTGTGGAGAGGGACCTGGGTGTCCTGGTGGACGACAGGGTGACCATGAGCCAGCAGCGTGCCCTGGGTGCCAAGAAGGCCAATGGGATCCTGGGGTGCATGAGGAGGAGTGTGGGCAGCAGGGCGAGGGAGGTTCTCCTCCCCCTCTGCTCTGCCCTGGGGAGGCCCCATCTGCAGTGCTGGGTCCAGTGCTGGGCTCCCCAGTTCAAGAAAGATGAGGAGCTACTGGAGAGAGTCCAGCACAGGGCTACGAGGATGAGGAGGGGACTGGAG